TCTATTCTATTCTATTCTATTCTATTCTATTCTATTCTATTCTATTCCATTCCATTCCATTCCATTCCATTCCATTCCATTCCATTCCATTCTATTCTATTCTATTCTATTCTATTCTATTCTATTTTCTATTCTGTATTTTCTATTCTATTCCATTCTAATTCTAATTCTATCCTATTCTATTCTGTTCATCCAAGAACCATGGGATGGAAGGATCTATCTGGTTTTTAATGCACCCACCACCATAAATTCATTCCAAATGGATCTCAGATTCCCTCAACCATCCAGGTCAAATTACAGATGCAAATCAATTAAAAAACGCCAACATGACCACAATATAATTTATGGTACATTCTCCAGGGAGACTGTGGTTGAAACTGCAATTTGATTGCTGATGGATATGTTGTACTTCCGCGGGTATAATTCACGTTTGATTCTGTTTGGTTTGATTTATTTTGGGCAAAGTAGCTGAAGAGCAGCTGGTGACAGTCCCTCCCCTGAGATAAATGGCTTGGATGGGATGTGACAATTCAATGGAATGCCCAACATCGTGCATAGTGTCTGTTCAAAAGGCTCGAATGCTAAAGGTGTGTGCAAACACGACAATGCCTTCCCTTCACATCATTTTGCACTGCCCTGGAAAGGGATGTGAATTTGAAAGGGGATTTACATCCATTTTTATGCTTGTTGGTAAGAGGCTTTTTTTGACAGAAAGCAGGAATGGTTTGGCTCTTTAGCAACTAAGGTGATTAGGGGACTGGAGGCTAAAACATACGAAGAATGGTTGCAGGAACCGGGCATGGCTAGTCTAGTGAAGAGAAGGACCAGGGGAGACAGGATAGCAGTCTTCCAATATTTGAGAAGCTGCCACAGAGAGGAGGAAGGGGGTCAAGCTATTTTCTAAAGCACCCGAATAATGGATGGAAATTGAACAAGGAGAGATTCAACCTGGAAAAAAGGAGAACTTTTCTGACAGCGAGAACAATCAACCAGTGGAACTCAGAAGTTTCCTTCGTAAGTTGTGGGAGCTTCATACCTGGAGGCTTTCAAGAAGATATTGGACTGGCATCTGCCAGAAATGGTGTAGGGTCTCCTGCTTGGGCAGGGGGTTGGACTAGATGACCTACAAGGTCCCTTCCCACTCTATTAATCTGTACTTCAGTTATTGGGAGAATATATGCGCATTCAAAGAACACAGTTGGAAAGTTGACAAATGCATGGAACCTAATGGAATCAACACCGTCTGAAATCCAGGAATCCAGGTAGTCCTCAAGTTATAACCCCATTGGACTGAAATGTACACTGCTAAGTGGAACATAGGTTAAACGAGTCATTCTATGACTTTTCTTGCCGCAGTAGTTAAGGGGATCCCTGCATTTATTCCACTAGCAAAGTGATCTGGATTTTTTTCCCCATTGACTTGGCTTGCTAGAAGGTTGCAAAAGAGGATATTTATTTGTTTGTTTGTTTGTTTATTGTTTGTTCATTTGTTTGTCTGATTGTTTGTTTGTCAAGCAAGTATTGGATAACAGGTATAAGTACAAACAGGATTAGGGAATATATGAAATGGGTACGAATAAAAGGGGACATTGGGACAGGGACTGTATGCACATTGGTGTGCTTATGCACGCCCCCTTATGCACCTCTTAGGAATGGGATGAGGTCAGCCATATGACAGTCTAAAGTTAAAGTTTTGGGAGTTTGGGGAAAAAAACTACAGAGTCAGGTAGTGCATTCCAGGTATATTGATCACCCTGTTGCCCAAGTCGTATTTCCTGTAATTGAGTTTGGTGAAGTTTATCTTGAGTTTGTACCTGTTGTGGTTCACCGGCAACAGGTGCAGACGGCTGAGGTCTCGAAGAGAGAGGACTCAGGTGAGGGGCCTGCATGTGAGGCAGGGATGGGGCCAGGACCATCAGAGAGTGGAATGCTGCCTTCGGAGATTATGGAGGCTGGCAGCAGTGAGGAAGAGTCAACCGAGGAGCCTGTGCCCAGTGCATGTGCGCACAGGGCTGCTCAAAGGAAAGAGCAGCTGCAGCAGCATGGGTTACTCGGGAGTAAGGCTGCAAGGTGATGGCCCCTCCCTTAAGAGATAAAAGCCAGCTGAGGAACCCGAGTTCTTTGCAGGAAGCAAAGAAGTTTTTGCACACAAAACTTGTGGACATTTGTGCTATCTTGGTTTGCGTTTGGAGACTCTTTGAACTATTTCTTGGCAACTTTATCTAGTGTTCTTGGCAGCCTTGCACCACCTTGGCAAGGCTCGTTCTTATCGGAGACAATTGGTTTGAAACAGCCTTTTAACTGGGAAGGAATGGAATTCGTAAAGAACCATTAAAAGGTTTTGCTGCTATCTCTATTTCGTGTTTGTTTCAGAGGTTTGGATCAGAACAGTATCTATTGTGTGCTCATATATTGTGGTCATTGATGGGTAGGACTTTGTAATGGATAATTTTATGTACTATGCTTAGGTCAGACTGAAGGCGGGGTAGTTCTAAGTTGTCTAAGCCCCAAATTTCAAATCTGGAGGCATAAGGTATTCTGTTGCGAGTAGAAGAGTGGAGGACTCTTCTCGTGAAATATCTCTGGACTCTCTCTCGATTGTATTAATGTCCGATATGCAGTGCGGATTCCAGACAGATGACCTGTATTCGAGAATCAGTCTAGCAAACGTTTTGTATGCTCTAGTTAGTAGTACAATATTACCAGAGAAAACCCTACGCAGGATTAGGTTAACAAATATCACGTGACCCTGGGATACTGCAACCGTCATAAGTACATGCCAGTTGCCAAGCATCTGAATTTTGAAGGCTGCGGTGGTTGTGTGAACAACACTCATAACTCACTTTTTTCAGTCACTAAGTGAACTGTTGTAAGTCGTGCATATCTCAAATGTAGATAGCTTTCACCATTCGTTTACTGACAGTTTGACATTACACCGGCACAGGAAAAAAAATGACCTAACCAGCTTTTCAAACATATGACCGTTGCAGCATCTCTATGATGATGTGTATCAAAATTCAGACGCTTGGCAATTGATTCATACTTATGACGGTCGTGGTGTCTGGGATCAGGGGATCACCATTCCCGACCTTCCAAGCTGGATTCCGATGAGCCAAGTTGATGGGGAGTAGCAGATTCGCTGAATGATTCGCATGATTCGCCCAACAACGGCAGGTGTTTGCTTGACTGCCGTGGTGTAACACATCACAAAATGGGGGCAAAACTCACTCCAAGTAGCTTTTAGTGATGTGAATTTGGGGTTTGAGTTGTGGTCATAAGTTGAGGACAGTCTGTATTCTGAGGTAAAAAAAGAATCTATATATTTCCTTCCTGTTTTTACACTATTCATTTCGGGTGACACGATTGCTGGCTGCCTGCCTGCTATGTATTAAGTCTGAATTCTGGCACTATCTTTGATGAGCAATAAAGTTGATGGATTTAGCTGGAATTAGAATTGTTGGCATTTCTGTTTCATTGTCAGTTGGATTTATGGATGGCCTTCTCTTCCAAGAACTCAAAACAGCTTGCATAACAACAGAATAAGAGAGCCGGAAGGGATCTTGGAGACCTTCTAGACTAACCCCTTCCTCAGGGTTTACACCTTCCTCACCCACAACTTCTGGAGGCCAGTTGTTCCACAGGTTAATTGTTCTAGCTGTCAGGAAATCTCTCCTTAGTTCTAAGTTGGTTCCCTCCTTGATGAGTTTCCATCCATTGTTTCTTGTCCTGCCTTCAGGTGCTTTGGAGAATAGCTTGACTCCCTCTTCTTTGGGGCAGCCCCTCAAATATTGGAAGACTGCTATCATGTCTCCCCTAGTCCTTCTTTTCATTAAGCTAGACGTTGCCCAATTCCTGCAACCATTCTTTATATGTTTCAGCCTCCAGTCCCCTAATCATCTTCCTTGCTCTTCTCTGAACTCTTTCTCCACATCTTTTCATATCATGGCAACGAGAACTGGATAAAATATTGCAAGTGTGGTCTTACCAAGGCATTATAAAGTAGGTAACATAATCAGTGCTAGAAGAGAGAGGGAAGAGGAGAAGGAGAAGGAGAGGAAGGGGAGGAGAAGGAGGAGAACTGTGGGGTCCTTGATGTTCTCTGAGCTTGGTTGCTTTCTTGCAAAGGTTTCATCACTGAACTATGTAACATTATCAGTGCTAGAAGGGAGTGGGGTTTGATAATAAAACTTCTGCACGCAAACAGCCAAGCTCAGAGAGAACCAGGGACCTCACAACCTTTCTTCTTCTTCTTCTTCTTCTTCTTCTTCTTCTTCTTCTTCTTCTT